TTTACACATGTTCTAGCATAGTCCTCAACTGCATCCATCAGTAACCTGAAGTTTTTTTCCAGTTGATGGGCTGGGGAATTCTATATAATGATCACTTGGCTAACAACTCTCTTAGTTGTTCATTGGTTCACGATGCCAAGGTCGCCAGTGATAACATGACCAGCTGGACTATACTTTGTTAATAAGACACCTTTTTGAGTCGTATTAGACATGATAGAATGAGAAAACGTAATTAAAAAAATGTACATTTTTTATATAAATAATCAACTTGTTTTATAAATTCAATCACAGCTAAATAGTTTTTTTCCACATTTTAAATCTCTATTTTACAATACATTTAATGATATCAACATAAAAGCTTCGCAGTTCAGCAACTTTGAATGACCGCTTCTCAAAATAGCCTTCTCAAAATAGAATTTGCAAAATATTGAAAAATCAATGCATAACATTGTTATTAAAAATTTCTCGTTCCAAAACAATTAAAAGGCGTGAAATGTGGAATTTTGAATTTTCTGTAGCAACAAACGCAAAAGAAGAACAATAATATTGAAAATTTTCACCTGTTTATATTGTCACCCGTTTTGACCTAAAATATAGGTTAAGGTTATTGGAAATTTTAAAAGCTATTTTAAGATGGATCTTAATTCATTATTATAACATGTATTAAAAAGTACAACATAACGACATGCATAATTCAGAAAATAATTCAATTAAAATTTCAGAATTTTTGGCACATTTAGCATGATTAAAAACAAACCCACGGCAGAAAAAGTAAGGGTCACGTGGAATTTGCAATTGGGGATAGTTTTCGATATACCCATTACGTACCTAAACGGAATTTTGGTGTAAATAGAAACCATATCTCTATCACGAAAGTTATGCTATATAAAAACAGGTGTCTATACAATATCAAGGTATAAGGTTAGGAAGATGTGGTATGATTGTCAGTGAGATACAACAAGAGACCAAAGGACGGGGATTTTAACACCTATCTTAAACAGTCTTGAACAATGAGATAAACCAATTTGAAGTCTGAATTTTGTTACAACAAATTACTTGAATCAAATTACCAAATTTTTATATCTATGGAAGAATTTAGTAAAGGTTTCTTTACTAAATTCTTCCATAGATATTAAGATTTGGTTTTGAAGTTTGGTTGTACCTGTAGAAAACTTATTTAAGATGGGATAACACATCCTAATTTTTACGGAGATATTACTTACCAAGCCCTTTAATTTATATACGATCCGGGTAAACTTATCGATCCTTTAAATAAACTTATTCTAAATGGTTACCAATTCAACATCGTAATTAGATCTTTGAATATTGTTTTTATTGGTATTAATATTGATATTGTTATCTTTAAATCTAAATCAAACTTAATATTATTGTTATATACATATACACATTTATAGCTCTACAATCTGTCGATACCTGTATCTTGGCATTGCACAAAATCATGTTTTTCTCTGACTATTAATGACGTCCTTACACTAAATCCGTTGGATGTTGGATGTGTACTGATTGATATTTTAGTCTTAAACTTTTTCATTAGTTGTTATTGGCTTTGAACCAGCTGTCAGTAACTGTGAGTACTCTCAGATCTGTACTTAGTGTCTTTTTGTTGTTGGGATGTATAAGTACCCTGCCACGTCCACTCTGTGTTTTTGCTAGATGTATTTTTATTTGTGTCCATCTGATGAGTTAAGCCTTTTTCAACTGATTTTTATAGTTTGTTCTTATATTGTACTGATACACCACTTTCCCATGTTAGGGGAGGGTTGGCGCATTCAAACTAGTTTAACCCCGCCACATTCTATATCTGCCTGTCCTAAGTCAGGAGCCTGTAACTGAGTGGCTGTCAGTTTTTGGTGTTTCTCATATTTGTTTTTCGTTTATTATTTTGCAGAGTTTCTTCTTATGTTGTGCCGTAACACCACTGTTCCAGGTTAGGGGAGGGTTTGGCCCCAACAAACAAGTTTATCCCCGCCACAGTCTATATGTGCCTATCCCAAGTCAGGAGCCTGTAATTCAGTGGTTGTCGTTTGTTGCTGTGTATCATATTTGTTTTTCAGTCATTATTTTGTACATAAATTAGGTCGTTAGTTTTCTCGTTTGAATTGTTTTACATTTGTCATTTCGGGGCCTTTTGTAGCTGACTATGCTTTATGGGTTTTACTCATTGTTAAAGGCTGTACGGTGACCTATAGTTGTTAACGTCTGTGTCATTTGGTCTCTTGTGGAGGGTTGTCTCATTGGCAACCATAACACATCTTCTTAATTTTCAATGTAAAAGTGTAAAGAAACGACCAGAATTATGCTGAAAACAAAAGGCGAAAAAACAAAAATGATAAACTGCAACTGACAACCATCGAATAACAGGCTCCTGACTTGGCGGGGTTAGTATATGTAGTATGATTGATAATGATACAACTATCCAATAAAGACCAAAGAACGTGAATAGACATGTTGTGCGTGCTAAAATATGCTTTAAATGATCTGTAACTGTTGTGTTACAGAAGAAAAAAAACACACAATACAAACTAGTTGGAAAAGGCTTGACTCGTCATATCAAAACGAACTAAACAAACATCACGACAAAATAAAAGACAAAAAACACAATGTACCAATCTGAGAGCAATGGTAGTTACTGGAAGCTAGTTCAATCGCCAAACCAAAGTCAGGATCAATTCACCAAAGTCTAAATCATCTCCCTAAAATCTGAATTCCTACCCAAGTATGTATCGCCAACACTGAAGTCTGTATCATCCAAGTGTGAATCGGTCTACAAAAGTTAGAATCACTTGCTTAAGGCGGAATCGCACTAAACAAGTCTGATTAGCCCCACTCAAGTCACAATCGTCCTAATAAATATAAACCGACCACCGAGTTAAAAATCGCCAAACCAATGTCTGATTCGCCCATCTTAGTAAGAAACGACTCATCCGAGTCTGAATCGGCTCATCCTAGTCTGAATTGGCTCATATTCGAGTCTGAATCGCACCATCTAAGACTGAATCGCACCACCTCAGTCTGATTCGCCTTATTAAAGTCTGATTCAACCAGCCCTGGAAGGAAAAATCCCACACAAGGCTGAAAAATGTGAATGAATTAAGAATTAAGAATCTTCTTCAAATGACAATAATTAAAAAATAAAAAAAACTCAAACGTCTGACGAGGGACATGAACAGAAGACAGAGTTTAACAAGATCAGCAATCACCATTTTACTTCTCGACCATTGTTATTCTTTAAAATGCAATAGGGATATAGTGTAAAAATTGGAATAGGAAACGCACTAAACTCTAAAAAAATAATAGAGAAATTCGACAAAGAAAAGAAAAAGAACAAATTGAACAATAATAAACAGTACCATATCAAACAGCTACTCTTATATCATTAAAGGTTTATATATTTCAATATCATACACTTGAACATAATCATTAAAAAACGAAATGAGCTTTGATTGCTAAAGAGACAACTGTCCAACAAATACTCACTGTACTAGAGAAAATCGTGAGCAGCTTAAACTAGTTATTCTGGACACCAATCCACCACCTCATAAAACTATTTCCTGCTGAGACCATTACCATTGAATACAACATGTACAAGAGCGTTTTGTAAAATTTGATATTAAAAAAGTTAGAATGACTTGATTTTTCTTGGTTAACGTCCCGTGGCAAATATGTCATGACGAGATTAATCTAAAATAAATATAATGCGTAGGTTCTGCAAAGTATGTCTATCAGGATGATGAAGGGAAATGTGGATTGCCACTGGAAAATCAGGGTATTTGGGATAGGAGCAGAAATTTGTCCTTGCATCAGGTCCCCTATGGAAAGTCATGAAGATGTGACAAAGCTTGTTCAACTGCAGATAGCGTTGATTTCATCCTTCATGAAGCATCGGATTTAGCGTACCCATTCCGGCCTTACGTTGAAAAAACAGTTTTAAGACAAAATAATAGCAAACATGAAATATATAATGACAATTTCAAAACCAATTCAATTATATATTTGATTCAAATAACATATGTTTTATGAAAGTGCCGCAAAGTTCCAAACCATTTCACCAGTTAAGTTCTTTTTAGAATGGTTTAATACATTATTTCTAAAGGACATAACAGAATGGCACAAAAAGGATCATTAGCGCCATTAGTGCAAATGATATGTAGCGCTAATGATTTCATTTTTAGCGTAAAAGGAGAATGCTGAAAAATCGGTGTGAATTTTCTATGAATTATGTGCACATTTAGTTATTCTATGATTTAATATTTCTTAAATATATTCAGAAACCTTTACCAGTATAACTTAAGTAGTGCCGTTGATATATTAAATGAAAAAAAAAACAACATGTATATTCACTGATAGTTTTCTCAGTTTATTATAAAACTATCATGACATATTCAAGTGACTCTGTTCACAGATTATAACATGACAATTTGTATATTAGCTTTACTATATCGATATCAGTCCTCTACTTGATATTTCATCTTATATGACAAATGTCATGTAATAATCTGCTAATATTGTCCAAAACTGGAACAACTGGATTTATATGAAAGAATTATATTAATATAAGAAACGTATGTATGTTGTTTGAGTTTAATTTAAAGTACCCTATGCACCTTTTATATTCCCGTCTTTTTTAAAATCTAGTAACACATATTACTATGAAAGAATTACATAACATTAGTTTGAAGGGAGTATTAAGTTATGCGTGTAGTAATGCGAATTGTTTTTTTTTCGCAAGGAAGTAAATAACACCTGATAACATTTTTTCTCGTTTTAATATTTTTATATTTTGGAAATAAATCAAGCTTTGCACACATCGATCTATATTTTTTTCATCAAAATTCTGTTAAGCATTTGAGTATTGACAGCACTTGATATCTGAAAATATTTAATTAAGAATACGAGGAAATTTAAAAGTTCTCTAAACTTTTGCTTGTATGAGTTTATGCATGAAACAGGTAAGCTTTTATACATATCACATCCAATCATGTTCTTTACGCGAGTCTTTTTTAAACAGTGCTGCTCTTGAATCGTAAAGCAAGGAAGGAATTCTAGACAAACCTGCGCATATGATCTTTGGACGGGAAGTACCCAGAGCGAAACCAGACTTGGGATCAGAACGGTACGAGACTGCCTTCTCTTTTTTATGCTAAACAATTAGCAAACATTTCACTTGAATTCAATCGCTATCTAATATCAGCGTAAATCTGTATTATCACACACATCACCTATGATAAACACAAGAGGACTATAAAGCATAGATATATTACAAAAGGTAAGTAATGTTACAAAATTAGGAACTTTCCATCCACCTCCACAGATTAAATCTACAGTTAGTCAGTCTGTAAAAGATATCAACCCACTTGCCAGAGAAAAATTTCTCTAAATGAAATAAAAAAGAAGTAGAATTCAAATTTGGTTCAATAAATTTTGTACCTGTCAATTTAAAGAGCAGTCAGTAAGTTTTTATAGTTTAGTTTTTCTATATCACTGATTTTCATCCATCTTTGCGGGTTTAATCTTTTAAATCAGTCTATACAAAAATCAATGTTTTGGTTATTGTTTTTCTATATCAATGAGTTTGGTTGTATTTTTTTTTGTTTTTTTTTGCATTTTGTATATTCATAAACTGCAAAAGACACTTTCGTCTGATATTCATATTTAACTAACTAGTATAATAAAGGAGCAGATTATATAAAATAATCAAATGCATATTTTTCATATATTTTAATTTAAACAGTTTTCACAGGATTTGCAGATATGAGTTATGTTGTAATGTTATTTTTGCAAGATACATTTACGCCATTTAAAAAAGAAATGATATAATAGTAAAACCTTTTAGAACAGTTTGTCGTAAAAAGTAGACAGCCAGGGAAGTGAGAGAAATACCCGACGGAACCCTGGGTCATCCCGTGTTAAGGATGCTAAAATAAGTTCAACTAGTTTTTAGAATCATGTTCACTAAATCAACATATATCTCTACAGGTCACTACCTTTTCACGCCACCTTTTGATCTTTGTCACTGTGTTAAGAAATAGCTTTAATGTATTCATTCACATAGTGTTTATTCTATTGTTCTATAAAGACTCTTGCAAGGTTTCGTTAATTCATGATGCTTAATAGACCTTGATATTTTGATAAAAAGGTTTTAAAAAGATTTAAACGTGTTTTTTTCAGTATTTATGAATGGAAAACATATACCATATCGTATTTTAAGTGTCTGCTTGTTAACATATGATTTGTAATTTTCAAGTCATTGCACAGATTTGTAGGGAATACATTTTCTTTCCTCGTTTATTGCATGTATATATTGTACTTTAGTTTGTGGCAAGATTTAAATTTTTTTGGGTGCGTTTTTTTTTTGAGGAATTTCCTTTCAAATATCCAATCATCCACCTAATGAATTAGTAAGGAAAAATTGACCTGTACTTTGGTGATTGCTTTTAAACATAAATCTGTGTAGACTAACAATCTAATATTGACTGTGAGAAGGTTATTGATTAAACATAGCGTTTTAATACTTAATTAGATGGTGAAATGCAAAACTATAATATTTTGCCATGTTTACTTGTTCGTTTATTTTTAAAATCAAAACGCGCTTTCACTTCTGTTATAAAATTGGTCAAAATCACGGAGGATTAACTTTTTTATTGTTCATTTTATCTTTTATTTATTAACATGTTTCACTATTTGTTCATGTTTGATCGCACTTTATTGCTCTCGGTATTTGTGATGAGGTTACCTCATGTGTAGCGGATTCGATGTATTGTAACATGACTTAGACCTAGACCGAGATATCATTATTAATCTCCCTAAACAACAAAAATTATAGAATTAATAATCCTATGTATAAGGATATGATATAACTATTTGCCTGCTTTAAGAACAGTCAATTCAAATTGGGACAAAACTTTTTTATCGTATATTTTGATATGCTTTTTTGATTAACTTTCCAGTTGTCGATTGTCGTAATAATTTAATAAAATTAATTTGTTTGTGGTAAAAAGTAGTTTACCCGATCTGTGTGATACAGTTGTCAACTATGCCGCATCTGTTACACTGCTAACATATAAACACATTCACTATGTACATTTTGTAAACATCTAAATACAATTCACCTTACGAATTTTACGATTCTAATAAACATTTAAATAACTCTTTTATTTGATAGGTCGGCTGTGTTGCCCTTCTGGTTTACTTGCTCGTTGATTTATCGTTTAAAGAGGGTATTAACCAATACAACTTTTTACCTGTCTAACTGATTGCTTTGACGTTTTAATGTATCTTTTTTGTTTACTATTCAAATTCTTTCTTTCTTTTTTTATTCCTTGTTGTACAAAATCTATCTTATTTTTTTTCTTTTTACCTAAGCTTTTTATTTATTTTTAATTCTAATTTTTCTTTTTGTGTCTTGAATTACATTAAATACCGTAATGTAAAAATAAGTTATATAAATACCCCAAAAGGCGTAAGGTAGAGCCGATCATTCGAGACCCTCGTGAATAGTCAAGGTCGTTAAACACCCCCATAATAGTACTATTACAAACGCATTACAGATTTATTTACCTAAGAGAACGCCTTTCTCTTATTATTTATTGATTTTGGTGTTGATCGATGAGTCACAAAATAATTTTTATAAAACTTTACACAGAGAAACTAAACATTATCAGAGCTGCAAAAATATTAGGAGGTGGGGTATGGTTAAACGAGTGAAGCAGATGGTTAAATAAAAAATCCCCATAAAACATGAGTTCTTTTTCAATTTTAAACGATATCGTAACAGCGTTCCTTAATCCTCAATCCTGGTTCAACATATTTGACATAAGCTACAATTAAACATTGATTAAGTGGATATGCCCAAGTTCACCTTTATGAAGATATTTCATTTCTTGTGTTTTACTTTTTTTATTTTTAATTATTTTCGTATCTTGTCCCGTGCTTCGTGTATTTTTTTCTTGTTTACTCTATATACTAGTATTTGTAAACTATTTATACTTTAATATACCTATCACATACCGATTCAAATGAATCTCAATATCAATTAAACTTATTTGATTTTTCTTTGTTTATCTTAATTGTTAATACTTTGCAGTTGCAGTAAGTCGACTTTTTGCAGAGAACGTTTTTAGATATGTGGTCAGATCATTCCGCGGTTTTCACAGACCAAACGAATACTGATAATTGGCAAGATTTTGGAAATTTCCCTAGTCATCAGAAAGATCAATCTTTGAGAGTAAAAATAGTTGGAAATGAAACAGTGGTACAAATACAACAATATCAATATGACATTTCAACTTCTACAGATATGGAAATTGTTTCAGATTCCGGAGAAGGTTTGTATTCAATTTTGAAAAATAAAATAGAGGTAATTCTTTAAAATTGCAATGGTAGAAACAGAATTTAATCAAAGACCTTAAATCAGTCCCATAATTTTAACAATTAATTTGGTTAGATATCATTGGAATAAAGAGGAAAATGGCTAATAAAAGAGAGGCAAAAGATACCAAGGGGACATTCAAACTCATAAGTCGAAAATAAACAGACAAACAGTAGCACACAAAACACAACATAGAAAACTAGAGACTGAGCAACAAGAATCCCATCAAAAACTGGGGGTGATCTCAGGTGCTCTGGAAGGGTAAGCAGATCCTGTATCCTGGATGATAAAGTATATTTCACTGAGGTGTTTTTTGTAGACTAAACGCGCGTCTGGCCCACAAATCGTTTTATCACCTGGTGTCTATGATGAGTTTATTTACAGTCCAATCTTTATTTTTATTATCCTTATTATCCTTTTTATGTATTATCAGATGGCTATGTTTTTATTCGATGTTATTAATAAAAGCTTTTCTAAATTAAGGTATGTTATTTGAGTAAATTATAGTTGACCTCAAAGTATAGCTACAATAAGTGAAAATAAACATTATAGTACCCAATTTGTACATACGTATTTATTCTGGTTTTTAGACCTTGCATTAATTCCTACAACTGTACGTGGTATGGATAGAAACGAAGTTCAAGATTCAGATAGTCATCAGAATACATCGAACAGCAGGAATATTAACAGTTCAAGTCCTTGTCGACAACGTGAGTAATTTTAAAAACGGGAAAGTATATGAGTTTCGTTTTATATCGCGGAGGCTTTAGGAAACCTTCATAGAATTTTGAAACTTTGGCAGCTTTTGGAAATATATAGTTTTTTTTTCATTTAACAGTATTTTAAAATATAAAAATATGAAAATGTGGTATGATTGCCAATGAGACAACTCTCCACAAGAGACCAAATGACACAGAAATTAACAACTATAGGTCACCGAACGGCCTTCAACAATCGGGAAAACCTCATATTGCTGTAACAGTACAACATAAGAACAAACTATGAAAATCAGTTAAAAAAGCTTAACTCATCAGATTAAAGTTTGAATTAAAAAAAAAATTCTGCATCTAACTGATAATTGGAATTAATTTTTACAGTCAACATTACACTTTTAAACTGACGGAACCATTTGCAGGCGAGATACAGAACCCTTAACGATTTTTTAAGTTTTACTATATCAAAGTTATTGATCAGTTCACGGCATTCAGCAAATCATAGATTACTATCATCACTATTGTGTAATATATTGTTTAATATTTTGTACTTGCGAATAGTTTTTTGTTTGTAAGAGTAAATGAATTGTGGAATTTTCCAGGATATTATATGGATGATAATGCAAAGTCCTTCTTTTTTGGAATTTAGATGGTAATATTCGATTATGGCAGTTTCTTCTAAATCTGTTATCAAACCCAGCATTTAATCCTTCTCATATTATGTGGATCAACCAAAGCGTTGGCGAGTTTAAAATTGTTAAGAACAAGGAAATAGCACAGATGTGGGGAGATGTAAAGAACAATTCTGGCATGAACTATGCAAATATGAGTCGTGGAATAAGGTATTTAGTTTATGTTTTTCTTTCTGTTTAGGAAATTTCACAACTTCACTGTGAAGAAACGATTTAAACAAAAATTCTGACATCCATTTTGATTTATTAAAATAAACAAGAAATGAGACCCTTTCAATAACGCTTGGTACTTAAATGACACTGCTCATAAACCCGTTGTTTGATACATAGAACAAATACAGTTTACACGGGGTTAATGACAAAATATGTTAACTGGATCATCCTCTCAAAAGCCAGAGATATTTTTTCGGCAACAGTTCATCATTCTCTCGAACGTTTTATGTTTTTGGGTTACCTAATTTTTGTCGCATGTGTACCTGAAAAAGATTATATGCGCAAAAATAATAGCATAGCTTTTTGGGAAATTGCTTTTAAACATATCAGTCATGTTGGTTGTAAAAAAATAAGATACAAATGTGAAACAAAACAGTTTAAATAGGCTGTTGGTATAATCCTTGCTTTGTCCTTTACTGCAGGATTTGACTTTTTTAGTCATGTGACTGATGTTTAACAGGAACATTTGGTCCTATCTCAAGACATTAATACAAAAAACATTTTGCCAAGAAAAATATTAGTTGGCCAAAGCAACATTTTGAAATCAAGATTCCTTTATAAAAAAAATTCCGAAGAAGCATGTGTGTAGTAATTGCGGCCCTCCTGAATGGCAGGCAACTTCATATGAGGCAAACTTTAAAAAGATTTAAAAGATACCACATAAATGTATAGCAAGACTATGGAAACCATTATAATGTTTTATTATGAGCATTCTCAAAGATTTACAAACTTCAATTCATCATACGTAATCTCTGTCACTAAAAAATACAAAGCACTACGATAGTTTTCGAATTATACTTTTTTTCAGATATTATTATAAACGTAAAATAATGGAACCTGTATCAAAAAGGCGTCTTGTGTACAAATTTGGACCAAAGTCTCATGGATGGGGAACATCAAGTTAGAGCTGATTGTTCTGTTTTACTGATTTGTATTAACTTTTCGCTTTTGTATTATAAAAACCGGTACTAAAAATACAATGTGGATTGCAAGCATTTTGCATTATTATGTTTATTTTAACAATATTTGATTGTCTAAATCATTGATTCGAATGTGTCTCTCAATTTTGTATGTAAAAAAATGTTTATATTGTTATACTGTTGTTATTATACTATGGACGTTAATGTTGATAATTGTGTTAAAATCAATAACACTGCTATGAACCAACAAATATCATTTGTCATTCATAATTATCCATAATGATCATAAAAGATCTCAAATGCAAACAGTATTATTTCATAACCCATGTAAGTAATAGTATCATTTATAAGTTATATTTTGATAATAGCATAATTTACATCAAAATCTTTGTTTGATTCGTTGAAGGTTTACTGACATAACATTTTCAAATGTATAATGTAAATTAGGCTTAAATGTTGCTGCAGTTCAATGTTGCATTTAAGTATTCTTTTGCTTCATTAGTTTTTACTTTTCTCTAATTCAATTTAACTTTAAGCATACTTTATGGACGTTATTCCAGAAAAAAGCTTCTCTGTAGTTAAATTGGCATCATCGGATACAAATTACCAAGTGACCGTGGATTACAAATGATCTCAACTAATTAACAATGACCTTGATTATAAAATGACGGTATTCTCCTTCAGTTCTATTGGATTCATTTAGTTTAGCGACCACTGATCTGCCTATATATCAGATGAATGCTTTATATATATTTTTTTAATTTCTATTAATCGAAAGCCTATGAGAACTACAAAATGTTCACCTTGTTTGTTTGGTTTTTTTTTGCAAGGTTCAAAATCTATATATCCTTGCAATTCATATTTTTCTGAACTTTTCATTTCGTATGAGTTATATGTAAAAATAAAAATATGCATGACTTTTACTTTACATTAAATCATTGATGTTACCTAAAAATAATAGATGGCAAAACTATGATACTGCACATTAAGGGAAAATACAGGCAATAAGTTATAGAAAAAAATACAAATCTGAAAATTGGGATCATATTTTCTAATATTCATAAATATTTATATATGTATGATTAAATTTAACATTCAACAGTGAATAAAAAATCGTTTTTGTTGACCTATTCAATTTTTGGAATATATTAAAAGTAAACGTTTAAATAAAATCTTAAATGATTTTTCGGCTCAAATTAGGCAGAAGAATCCGAGTTGGCAATCAAAAACCGAATCGCATGTATATTTAGAAAAAAGAAAAACAGCTGTTTGTTGTTTGTAAAGTTTTTATTGTAAACATTACTGGTAAGTTAAAAAGTAACATTGGTCAAAAGATTCTACATACACCATTGTTATTGTTTACTTATTTAATGCTTATTAAAATATAATAATTGACTTCTAATTGTTACATTTATTTATTATCTGCAATAAGTAATGTTCAGCATATGAAACGATATAAATATATGGCATTAATTTAGAAATTGAGATCAGTGTCGACATGACACAGATAACCTCTCAGTGTTTTTTTCAGTTTTAAACTCGCCACTTGTTACATTTAATTCACACATAAATTCACTCGGGGACATTTGTTACGCTGGATCAGATAATTTATTCACATACAAAAGAAGAATCGGCTCTTTATTTTTGGAATATAAAAGAGCCGATATATTCATAAATTACTAATAGTACTGATGAAGGAAAATACTACTCTCACATAATTTATTTCTTGCAATTTTCAAAACGTTTTATTAATTTCTTCAAAATCAAAGACCAAACAGCCTTTTCATTTCAATCGGTGTTTTTTTTCTCAACATTTGTCAGCAAGGTATATCTTGATCATGGAAAGAAACTGTGATAAAAAAGAGGATTTGTGTCGTCATTTAAGTAACACCAGTTTTTAATACCTCCAGGATGCAAAAAGTGTTTTCCACATTAAACAAAAGATTCACATTTTTCGATTAAATTCTCTAACGCATTTGCTCTTATCTGTTTTTATCTTTCAAATCAGTATTATATTCATTTTCGCGAAAAGTGATACGGAATGGCGAAATACTTTTCTAGCATTGAAAAATATCTACATATGATTTCTTCATAGGAATTACAGAGAAGACAGGACTGTGTGCACTCTTTGAATAAAAAAAGATAAAAGAATACATCACGGACCTTTTTAGTAATTTTTATGTTTTTTTTTCATCTGTTTTTGATAAAAAGATCTGTCTTTCTTCTTTTAACTGAAATTGACGTAAAAGTACAAGTTTGTCACGGAATCCGATTAAAGCTTTCGCAAATAGGGCAAACAGGACATAACACACACACACACAAATTTCTTTATAAATAATTCTGGCTTCCAGTGTGCAAAAAAAAAAACAAAATAATATGATCCTTGGTTTTTTCCGAAAAAAAGATGTATTAATCGGATGTAACAAATAAAATACAAACTTCCCAGTTTCAATCTAAATGGAGGGTGTTTCATTCTGGTCTTTCACAGGAATTATGTTTAAAGCTTTATCGATATGCTAGTCCCACATACTGATTATCCGACTCTGTTATACGCCATTTTGGAATCTGCAAATTGCGCGAAATTTCAAAAAATAATCTTCCTCTTATTGTTGAGCAGAAAAACAATGTCATAGAGCTTTTATATTACAATTGCCTTTGTGCTAGCTAATGCACACGAACAATAGACTGGCTAGACTTTAGCGACAGTAAATAGGAAAAGATTTACCCAGAGTGAGCCATGTAAAATACATATCTTTTTGTTACGGATTAGACAGTTTTCAGAACATTTAGAATGTTTATCTTCTAGGTAATTCTGGCTTACAAATTAGATCGCGTTGCTTGGTAACCTCAACCTGCGACAGTAAAATTTACGTTTTACGAAGGTTAAGCTTAAGACACAATACAGTTATCTCCATTCTAATGCCACATATCAAAATAAATTCCATTTAAGTAAATATTTTAGCTTTAAAATGCCAAAAACGAAAAAGTCTGCGATACTTTTACATTGTCTTTGGCATCTAAACAATGTCATAGGTATACTCCCGACGTCAAACCTAAAGAATAGACGTACGCTTGTGAATGGTTTAAATTTTGACAAAAAGATTTTAAGGATGTACACCTCTGAGGAGCCACAAATTTCTAGAATTAAACTTTTTTTCTTAACCTGATTTTTGGATTTATATGACTGTAAGAAAGTAATTGATGAAGAAAAAATCATATGATGGTGCACTTCTTTTTTTGCTACGGCCATTTGAAAGTACCCCATTTTTATGATTTTCCCATTTTTCATCAATTTTTACCCATTTTTGAGCTATAATCATGAAACAAATCACAGTTTCACAATTAAACTTTTTTTCATACTTTCACTTAAGATGAAGTGGACCAATCTGAATAAATTTAATTTAAAAAAAAAAGGTAGGTGTTAATATAAGAAAGTTTTATAAAATGTTGTTGCTTTTTTGTGTCAAATTGACCATATTGAAAATATTGTAAATTTAGGATTTTTCTCTTTTTTTTATAGAACGAAAAGAATATTATATAAACTTCTTTGTTATGAATGATTGAAAAAAATACATATCTAAGAATTTTGAAAAGAAAAAATTGATATAGGATGTATATATTTTTGATAAAATAATTTCTTTTTACACTTCACCCATTTTCTCAACATTTTGGCTGATTACACTGACCGGATTGCTTATACAAATTAAAAATTTTATTACTCAGAAAATACTTATTGTGAGTACACAACTTTTTAACATGGTTTAGTTTGATCCTAATATTTTTTCAATTCATTGATATTTTCCACTTGTATCACATTTTTTCGAAATTAATTTCCGAACGAGATTTCAACGAAACTAAAACAACAGTAGAATACATCCTTAAGGCACAAAATGTGACTTTTTGTTTATTTTTTCAGAAATTAAATACCAAAAAAATTCGGAATTCAAAATGGTGGCTTTTCTTAGTTATGGTTTGGTAGAACGTGGAATCTTACCCTTCAAAACACTTGTCAACGTCCAATGAAAATTGTCGTACAAAACGAATTGCATTAGAATATAAGTTCTGCTGTTCGGGAGATATTCTGAACTAAATAGATACTAATCGGATTTTGTGAACGTTAGATATTAAACCATTCTTCATTCGTATAAAAATACGTTTTTCTAATTTATTATGAAAATTCGTATGTAGATAATATTAACAAGACTAGAAGTAACACATCTATCAAACAACCACTATCTTATTGAGTTGAATGAATGAATTAAGTGAATACTTTATTTGCAAGAAGCATATGCATGCTATGGTAAACGAAGATATATACAATACACGATAAACAAACGTAGAGCAGATATCAGTAGTAACATAGAATACAATTATATAATGACAGTATACGTTGATCAATTGTCCTAGCTTCTGTTAAATAATTGCACAAGGTATTGTCAGAGATTTTAAATTAGCTCGTAATAAGTTATCTTTCCTTTGCGTCATTTGGTCTTAGGTGGAAATTTGTCTCATTAACAATTATTTACATCATCCTTTTATTTAAGGAATAAAAGTACTGTAGTTGAAAATTGCCCCCATCAATTGGCAAATTGACGATGGTGACGCGTTAATTCAAAATGACGGCAAAAAAAAACGCAATTGTGGATTTGACGATAAAAGTTCGCCAATGGAAAGGGTTATTACATAAAAATTGCAATAGAATTTAATATCCAACTGGTACTAAGTTGGCCATGAACAGAAATCATTTGTTGAAATTTGCATTTCCCTAAACAATTTTAAATCACTCAAGAAAATGTAAGTCGTTTCTTTTTCTCCATTTTGAAACTCACAAGTAAAATGTTAACTCTGGCATAAATCCTAAATCTGACATTGTTACTGGTTTTGCTGCGTTCCTGGCTTAGATATTAATGCATTCGACTGTTGAACCGTGTCGTGAGAAATGCATAGATTTTGACTATGTCTGCGAATCTTTTATAAATTGTAGATCACGCAGTTCCATTTTTTTCTTGACATGGACATTTTACTGAAGACGTGTACACAACTTTTATATTTAAATAGGGGTTAGATTTCAAAGTGTTACAACGTCTCTGTGGTCTCCTAGTAGAGTTCTATCCTCGTTATTTTTCATTTCTCCGCTAACAACACGGCACACTAAAAAAATGCTGCGATGGGTTCAGTTTAATTACATAGACCCATGCGCGTTCCAAAAAAATAGGAAATGCATTATCTATTATATACCCCATTTTACAGGGGCATAAAGTTTATAACCAAAAAACATCTAAGATTTTTGCTTGAGTACAGATTTTTAAACGTTTTTACAGATACATTGTTTATTTATCTTATGATTCCAAGAATCCTAAAGAATGCTTATAAATAGAAAGTCAATATCCAATGAATGAGGGTCTGCCAGGGGGTCCTTCAATTATGTATATGTATCCTGAAAAATTTTAAGCCGTTTATCTAAATGCTATATAAATTTTGCCCATTCTTCTGTATTCATTTTAGTTAAGCACCCCATTATTCTCTGCAGTATTGTCCCATCATTATCTATTTTCTAAACCCCATCCAGACCCTCATTAATAAAAGCAACAACTAGGAAGTAAATTTGATTGGCTGCATAGCCCCCTATCAGGGAATGTATGAATTAGGACGTGTCTGTGAACATATAATAAAACAGGAAGTAAAAATCATTTGTATATATATTTCCGAATTTTCGGAAATAGCTTTCTAATTTTTTACTTGGAAGACACTAAACTGTCAAATTTTGAGGTAGCCCCCGTTATTGTTATTATAAATTATTTAGTTATTAAAAGTAATTATTAATTTCAATGTTTTTATAACTGGTATATTGTAGGCAATTGTAAAAATATATTTCTTATGATTTGTTTACAAAAGCTTTAAATGATACATTTTATTTGCACAGAGAACGTAAAGCATAATATTTTTATATCCCTAAATTGTTACTCATCGCTGTCTTCTAAAAGTTGTGTATGTTTTAGAAACAATTTGATTGTTGCTTGCTTATTTCATGAGTGTACATGTTCCTAGAATTATATAAAAGGATGACGTATGATAAGAACCATTATTTGGCCCTGAAATTGGTCATGCAAACCTTTAAATGAACCGGTTGATATGATCGGTTAAGTTTAGTGCATTTAGGTTTCTAGTGCTGTCAAAATTACGCCAAAAACAATTCGAAATTGACGAATTAGTTTTCAATGTTGTGTTTTATCGACTTGTCTTTTGGTCGTTTTTCGTTTTTAGCCATGGGATTGTCGTTTTGGTGTCTTCCGCCTCTGTTTTGTAAGAGATGCAGTATAATGAGAGGGAACGACCATGCATTGTCTCGAAATAAAAATTGTTTCTAACCAAGGCTTCGCATTCTAACTGTTTCT